TGATCCTCTGGTGGAGGAGGAGGGGCTCTGTCCAGTACATATTCCCTCTTCTCAGACTGAAGAACAATTTTTAGGTTCCTTAGCCAATCGTTGAAGTTGGGTCCAGTTAATTTGTTTTGTTCTAGTATACTTGCGATTGGATTTTTAGCCATTTTCGTAGATTGATCTACAAAATAACAAACGAAGCAGAAAATAGTTAGACTATAGAATTTATATTCATTTAACATTAGGTCTTTAATATTAAATGTCTCCCACTATTTTAATTAAAACCCATTTTAATTATGAAAACCTAATTTTTCATAGTGAACTTGAAGTCTAATAAAAATATTCCATATCCCAATTTTATGAGTACGCATGGAACACTTATATCGGTAGTCAACTTTTGACAATTGTATCGCTATACAACCTTCAAGATATTTTGCCTCACCTTTCCTTATATACCTCAATTTTATGACCGTATATATTACTTAGTGTCAAATCAAACCCATCAAACATTCATGATAACGGCCCACCAGAGTGTCCCACGACTCATGGTCAACACAAAGAGGAATCCGTTTCATGAGTATCTTTATACTTAGTAGGGATCATAGCTTTCGACACAAAACCACCCCACGACTCATGGTCAGTGATAAAGCATCGTAGCATCTCATGTCGTCTACTTTTGATGGAAAGCCTGAATTAATAAGTTATAACTTATTTCTATCCATTATTGATTTGATATGAATTAATCTCATTGATTCTTTAGGGTTCCTTAGATCTCATCGATTACCATCTTTACGTTTATTTACCGTTTCATCCATCGCATGAATCACAAACATAAATAAACCTAACATACATCTAATGCATGCATTCGGTGGATGATCATGACCTTGCCTGTGCGATCCATTCGAGCAAAAATGGATCTATGGCTATGCACGTGATAAAATAAATAAATAGAACTACTTCTATTACAATTTATTTTATCTACCCGTACAAGCACAGGCCTTCGAGTTTTATAACTTGTAAAATTACCCACACACGCGTGGGCCTTTTGTATCGAACAGTCTCCACCTAGATCTAATCTCTAACGATACAAGAATTTAAAATTTTACAAATCATAACTCAAGAGACTCGCAGGTCTCAATAAATTACATTCATTCAATCTTATTGAAAAATTAAACCATTCAATCATATTGAATTAAAAGGTAACCATTCAATCACATTGCATAATAAAATAGACATTCAATCATATTGAATATGAGGCTCAGATCATCCCATTCATCACATGAATTAAAACATAATAAAAAAAAATTATTAAGTCACACGACCAGTGTGACAAAGTCACACGACCAGTGTGAGTCCACACGATTTGTGTGATCCTATCACACGACCCGTGTGAAAAATCCGTAAGAAAAAATCAAAATTTTCCTTAAGTCACACGACCCGTGTGGCTTAAGACACGGGTCGTGTGTCTCCACACGACTCGTGTGACAATGTCACACGACTCATGTGAAAATCACGAACCAAAAACAAATTTTTCTTTATACTCACACGACCCGTGTGGCTCATGGACACGGCTCGTGTGAGCCCACACGACCAG